CTTTTCAATTATCCGACCAACCCCAGTCCCCAATCGAGTCGGATAATCGAGGCTCTACTGTAATCTGTTTTAATCAGGAGACAAAGAATGATTCATTCAAAACACTTTAATCACACTTCTTAAGGCAGCAATGAATTTTGGAACAAAAAACCATCCCCTCTTCAGGCTATATACAATGTATACAGCCGACATTGACAATTAAAAACAAAAATTTAAGATATGAAACACTGACCCAAAACAATTTAAAATCCATTCTTTATAAATCATAGTTAACATTTCCCCNTAATTACATGGGATATAATAATATACTACACTAATAATGGATTTTTTCATACTTTTCGGTTATCCGACCAACCCCAGTCCCCAATCGAGTCGGATAATCGAGGCTCTACTGTAGTCTGTTTTAATCAGGAGACAAAGAATGATTCATTCAAAACACTTTAATCACACTTGTTAAAGCAGCAATGCATTTTGGAACAAAAAACCATCCCCTCTTCAGGCTATATACAATGTATACAGCTGACATTGACAATTAAAAACAAAAATTTAAGATATGAAACACTGACCCAAAACAATTTAAAATCCATTCTTTATAAATCATAGTTAACATTTCCCCACAATCCAATAAGTGCTTTTCATATATTCCTTTCAAAATTGTTCCATATAAGAACTATAAAAAGTACCAAAATGTAAAAATTAAAAAACTCATATACAGTATTCCCCGTGTTAAGCAAACCCCGCTTAACACGGGGAATACTGTATTTTAACATAGAGTAAATAGGGAAAGGAGAACACCCAATCAAAAATAAACAGATTTTACTTTAAATTTAAGTTATTTTTATATTAATTTGCATCATAATATATGTTAAACAACACACAAACATATGCACACAGAAATGTAAAGTTCATTTTTTGTGATGAAGGTTCTGGCTTTTCTGAAATTTTAGTTTTTTTGCAATAAAATCATGTAGTTTCATTTGTCACTTTTTTCTTTCATTAAGCAAATGTCGTTAGTGAGAGATCGCATCCAAAATGTCTCATTTTGCTTTTTCACTCCTTTCAAAATTTGGATCATTTGCTACAATTTGATCAATGATTTCGGTTATCGTTACTAAACTTTTACTATGGAAATCTGTAGCAAGTTTTTTGGGTTCTTTGTTTTCAGAATCACTATTTTCCAGTTCTACACGAATTCCTTGTTCTGCCAATTCTTGAAGATTGTTGTTGGTAAGGCTCTCACCAGAAACCTGCAGTAACTCCTCAATATCCCTGCTCATCTACATCTCCTAGTCCTGCTGTATCGATTAGGTTGAGAATTTGGTCAACCTAATGATATAGTGATAGACTCTTCTCATTGAGAATTCTTGGATACCTTTAGCCATAACTTCTTCCACACTCCGTTCATGCATTTATCAGTTAATTCTGCCAAGTGAAGGGCTACTTGGAGAGCTAGCGAATGTCGTGCATGTGCTTTCTTGAGCTCTGATGTACAACTGGAGTGTCCCTGGGGGATAATAGCCTCAATGATCATGCTTACAACAGTTTTGACATACAACGGTTCTGTTTGGCCATTACCGATTGGAACATCTTCAATGATTACATAGAAAGACACTATCATTGGCCTCATGATTCCACGGGCAAAGAGGAAACTGCAGAAATTATAGAAAAGAACATTAACACAATAGTAGATGCCTTCAATCTCGCTGTTCCTAAGATATACTTGAACAAAAAACCCATTCCTTGGTGGAACAATCAACTAACCATGCTCAGGAAAAAGAATAATAAGCTTAGGTAAAGCTATCAGAAAAGCCATCAGGAACCAGAAAGAACCAAACTAAAAAGAGAATTTCTCCAACACCAGAAAATTTATAAATCAGCAATTAAAGAAGCAAAGCTCACCTCATGAAGAAATTACTGTATTGCATAAGGCTTCCAAAAATCCCTGGGGATTTATTACTAAGATATCCACTAACAAGCTTAAAACTAACAATGCCATACACACCATTCATACTGGAAGCAATTATACTCACGACCTTATCTCAACCATAAATGCTCAATTCAACAAGCTTTGTGTGGATGATATAGAAACGGATTACAATGAATAGCATAGAAGCATCAGAGCAGAGATGATTAAACCATACACTACCAAGAACAACCCATCATTTACTTATGTAGAAATTAATACTTTCATCAAACAATTAAACAAAGGCCCCAGATATGGACGGTATAACAACAGACATAGCTCAAGCAATCTGGGACAATCACCCTCAAATTTTGTCTGATATATACAATAACTGCTTGAAAAATGGTACATTTCCCAACTGTTGGAAGATCGCTAGGCTAGTGACTATTCCCAAGCCCGGAAATACAGACAGTGTAAGACCCATCTCACTTCTTCCAGTGATGGGAAACATATTGGAAAAACTTTTGACTGAAAGGCTAAACTGGTACTTAGAAACAAACGACAAGCTAAACAAAAAACAGTATGGTTTTAGAAAACATAAATCTATGACAGACGCAATAAAAATGGTCATTAACAATGTTTCGTCATGCCTGCAAAATAATAAGTACATTATGGGCATAAGTTTGGACATCAGCAAGGCGTTTGATTCCGCCTGAGGGCCGCTGGTGCTCCATCAACTCCGTAACTTTGAATGCCCTGCAAATATTTACATCATCTTTAAAGATTACTTAGCTAACCGTAAAGCCATTCTACAATCTGGCAATAATTACTTATTACATAAAATAAACAGGGGGTGTCCGCAAGGCTCAGCATGCAGCCCACTCCTTTAGAACATGCTATTTGACAATTTCTTAACTCAGACAGAACAACACCGCTGCCTATGCAGACAACATCTTCATTCTTATTAGGGCCAACTCCCGAGCAGAGCTGGAGTTAAAAGGCAACAAGATCCTCAGCAATATTGAACACTGGGGCTTTAGGCATAAATTACACTTCAAGCTCAGCACAACGCAGGGCATTATATTTACCAAACCTTGCAAAAACCACCTTTATAAGAGAGTCCCAATAATTAAAATGGGCGAAAACACAATAAAAATTAAAAAATCACTTAAATATCTTGGAATCCTGTTGGATCATAAGCTTCTCTGGATAAACCATATCAAATATATCTCTAACACTACAGGAAGAATATTTCAAAACCTGGTTTGCTTTGCAAAGAATACATGGGGTTTGAACTCTAAAGCCATGGCCACCATCTATGACATGGTATATATGTTATGGACAAAGTGATTAATCGAGCATTATTCATAATGACCAAAAAGGACACACAGTGTGATAAATATTGATTAATTTATCAAATTGACCGGTCATTATGAATACTACTATCATCTAGTCAGGCAAAGTGATAATAATACATTGAGGAGTGATCATCCAACATACACTAGCCAATTGCACTCTGAGTTGCTGATTGTATTGTGTTGAGTGCGTATTGTATTTAGTACTGAATTTTAAATTGTGCGACATTATAATTTGATTAAAAAAAATCCACTTATTTCATTTAGAAATATTTTTTGTGAATTATTTCAAAGTATTTTAAAAAGAACATGTAATCTTTTAAAACTAAGTACTATTAACTATATTAATTAAATAGTAAAATTTTACCTATGTGCACCGTCATGGAAGCGGGTGCAACTGTTTGTGCTCCCAACAGATTCCTCCCGGAGGGGAGCCGCCGATAGGCTGCCGATTGTTTAACGTCACTAGATATTGATACATACCAGTTATTGATATGTGTGTTCAAAAATACCACGAATCAATATCTAGTGATGTTAAACCAGTGTTTCTCAATCTCTAACGAATCGTCGCCCCCTTCACTTCAAAATTCTGATGCCGAGGGCCAAGGCTAACACCAAATTCGTACTGCATTGAATAGACTAGTGACTAGTATAATGTTATTTGTTTAATTATTGTACGATATAACGAATAAAATATCTAATTATTCTTAATATAATGTTTTACCATATTGCCCAGAAAATTGTTTTTCCCCCAAAAACTATAAATTGTTACTAATCGCCCCCTCAACATGGAAAAATGCCAACATGGGGGGGCGATATCGCCCCCATTGAGAAACACTGTGTTAAACAATATGCGGCCTGACAGCAGCTCCCCAGGAGGAATCCATCAAAAGCACAAACAGTTGTGACCACTGCCAAATTCGGTACTAAACACAACACGCATGTGCAACTTAAACGCGAGTGTTGATTGACTAGTGTATTTTGGATGATCACTCCTCAATGCATTATCATCACTTTGCCCGACTAGATGATAGCAGTATTCATAATGACCGGTCAATTTGATAAATTATTGAAATTTATTACAACGCCCAATTTTGTTGGTCATTATTCATAATGCCCATATTAATCACTTTGTCCATAACATATATACCAATTATCACATATGCTTGCAGTGCATGGNCGCCCCTTCAATAAAACCGTTACGTAGTATCATCCCCTTCGCTTCAAAATTCTGATGCCGAGGGCCAAGGCTAACACCAAATACATACTGCATTGAATAGACTAGTGACTAGTATAATGTTGTTTGTTTAATTATTGTACGATATAACGAATAAAATATCTAATTATTCCTAATATAATGTTATACTGTATCGCCCAGAAAATTGTTTTTCGCTCCCCCAAAATATAAATTGTTACTAATCGCCCCCTCAATATGGAAAAACGCCCAAATGGGGGTGATATCGCCCCCGTTGAGAAACACTGGTCTAAAAATATTCACCGATATTTGATGACAGAATCCAAAGCAAAAAGATCATCCGTTGGCTTATACATTGATCCTTATTTTTATCGAAAGTATTTTTACATGCATTATATAAATTTAAATGTTATCGATGTTTTTTTGATAAGCAGTCACTCTCACCTCTAGATAAGTAGGTAGGAAATCGGATAAGGAGTTGGAATAACCGGAGAAAGCTACACTACAAGAATGAAAGGTACACATTTACTATTTCACTAATAAAAAACTCGTAAGATAAAGTGAGTTTTCGCTATTTTCCTCTTTAAAATTTAATTATTCAATCCTTTTATATCTTTATTTACGTGTCTTCATTTCGATCCTGTATGTAAATTGTCCTTTACGTTTAGCTTATATGAGCGGTGTATTGTGCCAAGCACTTTTAAATGTTGGCACCTATAAAGTAATACTTTATAAATGTAAAACTCATTGCTATTCTTACTTTAGATAATGGAAATTATCAGTAATAAAAGCTGATAACCGTTTTAAGCTAAACACTTAAACAACACTTAATTAAAGTGACTTCAAAGATATCATTATTGTGGAGTGCCATTTTATAAAATGGCAACCAACAATAATTATACCCTTTAATAATTCTTTTAATCTCATAATGGGTCCTTTACTATGAACCCTTAAATATTAACGCGGGCCTCCTTATAAGGGTTGTGGACACGTTTTTCCCTTAGGTATATCTCACCTTTAAAATTACATAACGCTACATAACGCCATCGCACAAATTTACCCCTAAAATTACGTAAAACATACTCGATCGAACCTTTAATTCTACCACGGAATAGGACTAATACACGATATAGGATTTAATATTGGATTTAAAACTCTTCAGAGGGAGTACAGAAAGAAAACAATATGCCTTACAGATTGTTTTCTATCTGAGGTAACCAGCCTTACTCGAGAAAAAAGCCTCAGAAAACGGTGCATCCCCTCTAAATCTACCTCTGCCGAATATTGTATTATTAATTACAGGTATAACGTACAAAGCAGTGTCACAAACAGTACGGTTTGCTACGCTTTACGTAAAATTTCTGAATAACTCCTACTCCTCTGTAACGTAACAATTACTTGTATACCCACCTATATCTGCGATACGTAATTTATGAACAACCCATATTTTACAACATAATCGTTACTTTCGGATTTCCTTTATTTTAGTAGGTTTAAAAAGTCACTTCTTCCACGATTTGCTCGCCTTTCTGGACAAGTCGTGGCAGCCCATTAATCGTAATCCTCTTAATTCCCATAGGGCAGAGACTCCCAAAATACAGTACCCATAATATTTTATGAAATTAATGGATTCATTTTTATATTTCAGAAGTAAAGATGCAGTGTTTGAGTATAATGATTTTTGGAACATTATTCTTTTTGGAGTGCTCGGGACACAGAATAATCGCCACTCGACACGGAACCGTATTGGGTAAAAGAAGATACGTACTAGGTAATGAAATTGATGTATTTTTGGGTATTACCTACGCAGAAGCTTCCCACGAGAAGACGAGATTCACTTTATCCTTTCCCTCCTCCAAGTGGAAAGAGGTCTACAATATTGAAAAGCCACCCACCTGCATTCAAAACCCTCCTGTACCAAAATTCGAATGGGTCCCCGATTTACAAAATATGGCCGAAGATTGTCTTTACTTGAACGTTTGGGTTCCAGCAAAAAAGAACGACAAAGAATCATTTTCTACCATGGTATGGATTCACGGAGGGGGATTTAATACGGGATCATCTAATATGGATATTTATGACGGTGGAGTGATAGCGTCTTTAGGCAATGTTATTGTGGTTTCCATTAATTATCGTCTAGGCGCCTTCGGATTTCTCTATTTTGGTAAGGATTACACTCCCGGTAACGTTGCAATGTTGGACCAAGTGTTTGCTCTCAGATGGATTCAAGAAAATATAGCCGCATTCGGAGGTAGCAAAGATAAAATTACCCTTTTTGGGCAAAGTGCAGGTGCCTGGTCCATCGGTACTCATATAGTTTCTCCTCTCTCTCAGGGACTCTTTAATAGAGTTATACTTCAAAGCGGAAGCGTTTACCATCCTTCTGTAGTAGTGGATCCAGGTCAGAACATTCTGGTAAGCACCTTTCTTGCCAGCGAATTGGGATGCTTCAACGATTCTTACCAAACAGCAATTAAGTGTATGAGAGAAAAAAGTGCGGATGATATAAGCTTTATCGAAAAGGCAATTACGAAATCAAAGCAAACCCTTCTTTGCTTCTTGCCACAGGTCCAAATACCATATTTGCCAAAGGATCCTGTAAAAAGTTTCGACACGGGTGAATTCCATCGTGTTGACGTCATGTTAGGTAACGTAATCGACGAAGGATCTCTGTTTCTTGCTGCTTATAAAGAAGAATTTCTAACTTCAGACGATCCGGCGATAAACAAAATTCAATCTAAAGAATTTCTCTCAAACATTTTGAACTTTAACGACACTCTTCTACAGCCTGTTTTAAAGAACTATTTGGAAAATGTATCAAATGACGACCATCAAGCGATTCTTAAACAAACTCATAAAGTGATAGGAGATTGGATATTCAAATGTCCAACAAACTTTCTTGCGGAAAAGCTTGCAGGACATAATATCAAAGTTTATCATTACACTTTTAATCACAGCCGTACAAAAAATGGGCATAGAAAATGGACTGGAGTACCCCATTTCGAAGAAGTACCATTCATATTTGGGGTACCTTTACAGAAAACAAAATTGTACACTCCTGAAGAAAACGAATTTAGTCGTAATCTTATAAAGCTTTGGACTTCATTCGCAAAAACTGGGTAAGTGTTGTTTAATTAATGAAATGCCGTGTAAAAAGAACGATAATATTTTAGTTAAAACAGAGATTTCAGTTGGATTTTGATATCTGTTTCAGCTGAAATGTTCAGACTTTTAAACTAGATTAAACCGAAGAGCTATTGAGATTTATAAAGATTTTTAAGATGTACAGTAGACCCCCTATAACACTGTTGATAATTCCGTATTATATGAATTCCGTGTTGTACGAGTCACTTAGATTTTACAAATACATGTGCCGGGCTGTGAACGGCTCACGTATTTGTAAAATCTAAGTGACTCTTACAACATGGAATTCATATAATATGGAATTATCAACAGTGTTATAGGGGGGTTTACTGTACAGTACTGTACTGTGCATCTTATTTCTTCAAGAGTTTAATTTAGAAACAACTGAAAAGTATTGTTTTAAGTGCTGAAATGTTGTTTGTCTACCGTAATAATCAGTCCATATGTTAATTTACCTGACCATAAATTGATGATTGCAATGAATATAAGCATTACAACACTTGAAACAATATTATATCAAAATGTTTTACTTGTTTCTAAATTGGAAATGTTTAAGAAACGATCGAATTATATATTTACAAGCATTTTCTTGGAAATCTAAAATTCTGAAAACGTTTTATTGCATTTTCTACGAATAAAATGCAAGAACACTCGCTATATTCCTGAATGTTCTGGCTTACTCTTACAGAAAAATCGTCTAAAATTTTATTTCTCACATGGTCTTGCAGAATCGTACAAGAAGAACTTTCTAAACCTTATTTTCTTTGTTGATTTTCTTGAAATTCCGGTGTTGGTGATGTACAAAGTTCGGGACATCTTTGCGAAAAGAGCAGCTATTAAATTTCCATGAAGATCCACAAAAACAAAAGATCTTTCTGACCTTTTCTAATGTGTTAAAATTAGTAAACAAAGAGGAAACAAACACCCAAAATTTCAGGAAAAACGATAAATTTAATTTGTAAAATTCTTTTATTTTTAAATAATTTTCCTTTTTCAGTAATCCAACTGATCTCATGAGCGACGAATGGTTACCTTTCACCAGTGACACTCGAAATTCCATTGAATTAAAACCAGGAAACATAAAAGGCACCAAGTTATTGGAAGATGACAATTGTAAATTCTGGAAAACTTATTATCCCAAATAATAATTATTTTCAATTTTTTTTTTAAATGATAATTTTAAAAAGATATAAATTTATGTAAATTACTCATTTGAATGTATTAATAAAATATAATTATGATTTAAAAAATTTTCTTTGTATATTTTTTGAAAATACAGTAGATCGTCGTTTATCCGAAAGAATTCCAGTCGGCAAATTTAAATTTTCGCTAGTGCTGTGGCGCTGCAATCTTTGGCTATATCTTGGGCTACTCCAATATTTTTTATGTTCGTATGTGTTTTAGCTAGCAGCACTGTCACTTTTGTGTGGTGTTTTTTCTGAGGACTGTGTGTCCTGCTGAATCGAACGTTTTTGATACTAGATAACTTCTAAAGTATAAATTTTTTTTGTTTTTATATTTTTCTATATATTTATTTTGTTTGTAAAAAATAAATAAATAATTTTTAACGATACAATAGCCACGATTATTATTTTAAAAAGTTTACATTAGGCTTAACATCGACGAAAATTCAACGCGAAGCGACACGCAACAGAGAAAAATTTCAACACGGGATAGGTTAATGTATTTTTTCGTACATAATCGGTTATCCGAACAATCCCAGTCCCCAATTGTTTCGGATAAACGACGCTCTACTGTATCCATGTTTTATTATTATTATTTTAAAGTTTCCCTGTAAACGTAAGAGAGAAAATTTTCAAACCTATTGTAAATTCGTCCAGGATCACAATGTGGTCGGGCCAATGAGGGACTGCGCCGGACGGACCACACCCGAAAAATTCTTGAAGTTACTTGCGGAGAACCGTAGACTTCGGCCTTAGCCGAAAGTTAGTTTTCAGTTTATAAACAAAAAGTTTAACTATTAAAAAAATGATTAAAATGTAAAATAAATTTATAACCATAAATGTTAACAATAATAAAAACAGTAAAACCTCTCTGGAGGTCTGAGCTGGAAAACAAATTAATAGAAATTCTCCTGGGTTGATTCGATTTCTGCCCTCACCAGTATTAACCATTTGGGTGAGTAGACTTAAACCCGAACTCTAGGTTTATTATAACGGTATGGTATTTAACGTAACGGAATGTCACTTTATTCTATTCAACAAAGTGTGTTACACGAAGCGAGTTCAGAGGGATCCTTATTAAAACTCAGCCTATAGACCCGGATGATAGTTAATCCGCTACTTGTCTTCGTCCTGTTTGTTAATATTGTGGAATTGGCCAGATCCATAATGGATAAGTAAGAAAATCAAGTCTTAATCGCTTTTCGTAATATCGAAGTTTCGGTCCAAGGGCGACTGAAGAGTTTGACTCGTGGATTTGAATTTGTTTGAGAGAGATCCCCCATGCATTGCGGACGGATGGCCGAGCGGTCAAGGTGGCAGCCTACCGCTCTGGTGGACTCGGGTTCGAATCCGGGTTCGTGGTTCGTTCGGATATGTCGGGCCCCGTCCCTCACCACCCAGCAGCCCCATTGTGGGCCTGGCAGAACCCATAATGGGTTTGCAAAAAGAGGCCCTCTTAGTGCCCACAGGGTGGAAAGAGTTAAAAAAAATCCCCCATGCATATTCACGGGTCAAGCCGTCGATTCTTACCCATCATTTATATTCGATTTCGCTGTGGCTCGAGACAGCTATACATTTATAATCCGAATACAGGTAACCCCCGTATAACACGGCACTTCTATAGCACGGATTCGCTCTAACACGGTTCGAGAATTGGTACCATCCCCTGTATAACACAGTACTTTTATAGCACGGATTCACTCTGACACGGTTCGAGAATTGGGTAAAACCCTCGTACAACAGGAAATGTAATAAATTTTTACATACTTAAGTAATAATAGTTCACGAAAATTATTATTTTCGTGAACTATTAGTACTTAAGTATGTAAATTTTCTCTTCTCGCCTTCTGTCGATACACGTGGTCCTTCTCGAAACTTGTTTCAATGTTGCCAGATCGCGACGCTTCTGCTTCTGATGTTGCCGAATGTTTTTCCCTTATTCCATACTTGCTTTATTCTTCATAAGTGCTTAGCACCATATAAGGAAATTTATAAAGACCTTTTAACTAGAAGCAAGCAATCTAAAATTACATACATTTTGCAAAAGGTAAAGCATGGATCTGAACATAATGCAGAAAAATGCTCAGAGGATAAGGATAACTTGCCAAAAAGAAAACGCTCTCGGTTAATTAATAGTGTTTTTAGTGATGACGAAGAAAACATTGTTTAATTAATATTAATATGTATCACTTAAAAAATTTTTAATGAAGATATTTATCTTAATTATGAAAATATACAGCATGTTTTTTAATTTTTGGAACCTAATCCTCCTTTTCGTATTAGTTCTTTGTTTCGTATAACACGGATTCGCATAACACGGCAATTTTTTGGAACGTAACTACCGTGTTATACGGGGGTTACCTGTATATAATTGTTTATTTTACACAATACAATAATAATTTAACTATAGGTCATACAGATACGGTAATTATAGATTCCCATAGCATTATATAGAAATCTAATGGACCATAAATTAATTGTCTCGAATGAAAAGATAAATTAATAAAATTTTATTAATTTATTTATTATTATTAATAATACTTATGAATTTAATTATAATTTTAAATAATTTGAGAAATTTTAAGCGTTTAAAAATATTACGCCGTCTGCCGGTAAACGTGATAATTAATATAGTCCTCCCCTTTCCAAGATGGCGTAATTCGTTAGAACGTGACAAGCGCTTTAAGATTATGGCGTTTTTGCAGTGGAGAAGATTTAGTTTTTTCGATAAAGAAGTAGTTAAAGATCCAGAAACTAATCAACCTTTCGATAAGTTGAAGGATCTGCACATTACATGCAGCACGAATGGACGTGGAAACGTCGTTTTGGGTGATGTGGAAGGCAATTTACATTTCCTTAATCGACAGTTTCAACTTTCTTCGTTTAAAGCCTTCGAATTGAATGTTTCTCACATTCAGCAGCTTAGACATAATGGTATTCTAGTGTCGGTCGGTTCTGACGAACCTGGTATTAACCCTTTAATTAAAATATGGAATTTGGAGAAGACAGACCGAACCGGGAAGCCAGCTTGCTTGAGAACGATCAGAATTCAAGTAGGAAGCACACCTGTACCTGTCACTGCATTGGCTGTACACGAGAACCTCAATCTCATGGCGGTGGGCCTCGACCAAGGCAGAATAATTATATTCAAAGGTGACATAACACGAGAGCGGCAGTGCAAGCAGAAGGAAATTCCTATCGGAACGGATTCTGTGACCGGCTTGGCTTTCAGGAAGATCCACTCGAATAAACTTGTCTATTTGTTTGTCAGTACGACCGACGAAGTCTTCTCCGTCGATTTGACGGATAAGAATAACGAAAAAATAAAACTCCTAGACGGCCATGGTTGTCGTCCTAAATGTTCCGTGATGAGCGATGCCAAGAAAAATTGCGACGATCAGTTTGTAGTCGGGAGAAATGATGCTATTTATTTTTATCAACCCGACGAAAGAGGTCCGTGTTTTGCGTTCGAGGGAGAGAAGGTGATCCTGCATTGGTTTCGTGGAAATTTGGTGGTCGTCGGAAAAGATAATAAGGCCATTCCGAGTCTGTCCTCGTCCGGATCGTCCGTCGAGATGAGTATAGTTACGGTGTACGATATTCAAAACAAATTCATTGCTTATTCGGCGCCGTTTTCCGGCATTGTTAATATTGTGTCGGAATGGGGAATGTTATTTATACTAAATCAAGATGGAAAGTTGTTTAGTCTTCAGGAAAAAGATACCCAAAGTAAATTAGAAATGCTGTTTAAGAAGAATCAGTATAGTTTGGCAATTAGTTTAGCAAAGAGCCAAAATTATGATGACGAAGGTCTTGTCGATATATTCCGACAGTACGGGGACCACTTGTACAGTAAAGGCGATCACGATGGAGCTATAGTTCAGTATATCAAAACTATTGGAAAGCTAGAAGCGTCTTACGTGATTAGGAAATTTCTTGATGCTCAAAGAATACATAATCTTACAGCATATTTGCAAGCATTACATAAGAAAGGATTGGCAAATGAGGATCATACAACACTTCTGTTGAATTGTTACACAAAATTAAAGGATATAGATAAATTGGATGAATTTATTAAGACAGAAAAGGTAGATTTTGATGTAGAAATTGCAATTAAAGTGTGTCGACAAGCTGGATATTTTACGCATGCTCTTTTCCTTGCCGAAAAGCATCATCAACACGATTGGTATCTTAAAATACAGCTGGAAGATCTTAAAGATTATAGCAAAGCACTGGATTATATTGGAAAATTAGATTTTTCTTTGGCCGAAGATAATATGAAAAAATATGGCAAAATTCTCATCAATAATGCACTTAAAGAAACTACTGATTTATTGAAGAGATTGTGCACTGATTTTAAATCAAATAATGAAACTATTCAAAGAGCCCAGCCAGAAGAATTTATACATATTTTTGTTAATAATACTGAAAAATTGTTAGAATTTTTACAACATATGGTTAGAGAGAGACCATCATCTTCGGCATTGGTGTATAACACTTTATTAGAATTACAATTACAAAGTTGGAAAGCTGCTACCGTTCCTGCTGTCAAAGAGCAATTGGAAAAAGATATTACTACCTCATTAACTAATTCTGAAGCAAAATATGATGTAGATCAAGCTATGGTACTTTGTCAGATGAATGATTTTAAATACGGAGTTCTGTGTTTATACGAAAAGGCAAAATTGTATCAACAGATACTTCAGTATCACATAAAACATAATGATTATAAAAATATTATTGAAACTTGTAAGAATTTTGGGCTTTCCGATCCAAATCTGTGGATTGAAGCACTGAGATATTTTTCGCAAAAAGATCAGAATGAATGTTCGAAAGAAAAAGAAAAGGTCTTGAAAGAGATTGAAGATATGAATCTTCTACCACCCATAATGGTAGTCGATATAATGGCAGAAAGCAAAACTGCAATGTTAGATTCTGTAGTCAAAGACTATCTAATTCGG